TGTTTTTTTTTTTTTTTTGTTTTTCTCCACAAAAGTTCACATCACACTTCGAAGGAAGTTCGACTGTTCGACTTCCTTTGGGTGCATTGAGCTGTCACATCTTGGGTTGAACTTGGGGCCTGTCTGTCAATTTGATTACTTGGGTTCTTTGCATTGCTCCCACGCCTGTCGACTATGTCTTCTTTTTTCTATTTTGCGGTTTGTCGCTCTTCACGTTTTTTATTTTCGAATTTTACAATTGCGATGCTCCATTGTAATTGCTGTTTTACCGATGCCATTTTTGCGGTTTCCACCTCCCCTATTTGTTTTCAATCAATTGAATCGAATCGAAAGTGAAAACATGAAAGTGTGAGTTCAAATTGATTTACCGAGCCAAGCCACATTGATCATAGCATTCAGCATGATTAGCTCTAATGATTCGGACCGCCTGGCTGTAAATTGTCTACAGTGCTTTATGCAACTTTCAGCGCCCGAGTCAGTTAAGAGCTGCTACCCGCATCTGTTGACAAATTTCCATTTCTCATTAATTACAACACGACAAACAGACCACAAAATGTGTTCAATATTCCCAAATAGTGCATGTTATTGTATTTTACACTATAAGCAATTTTGAATTCTTGATTTACGTATGTTTTATTGTGGACTTTTATTTAAATAATGTTTAAAAATATTTTATAATATATATATATATACAAATAAATTAAAAGTTTGAGGTTAAAAACTAAATTATTTAAAGTTAAATTAAATTTTAAAATAAAAAAATCTTAATAAAATTTAAAAATCTGTACAATTATTTATTTTAATCTTAAATATTTAAATGTATCAATATAAAATATATTTAATTTAGTAGCACATGATTTTTTAATTGTGGATATGTTCAGTTAAGCCTTAAAAAGCAAGTGTATTCCAAGTTCGTAGCGTCGCAATAGAAAATCGTTGTTGCAATTGTTATGAGCAGAGCGATGAATTGTGGGCGCCAGACCAAATGGCACTTATCATGATTAGCTCTTCGATGTCGGCACAAATAATTATAAATGAATGCACAGGCAACTGGCTGATTGCGATACTCTACTTATGTGATTTGGGTGTTTCATATTTGTAAGTTATCTACAAACTCTACTCAATCGGCTGCTATTTGACTACTGAAAACAAAGTTTTAAAACAAACGTTTTTCTTTTGGCAACTTAAATCAATATTTTCAATTAATTTATCAAGGGTATTTGATTTTGTATTGCTTCGCTTTTGTAGATCAATTTGTTAGATTTTATATTGTTTTTCATTTTGTGTTTTTGTCTCCATCATCATTAATTGACTACCATTAAGTGGAGCACTGTTTTGGCAGACACGTTATTAATAATTTTGGGTAATACAATTAAAATGACTTTGTTTTTGGTTTAATAATGCCGCTTTTGATGTCGTTAATTTGTTTTTTTCTTTTCTTGTTTGACCAGCAGCAGTAGCGCAAATTTATAATTGCAAGCAACTTAAAACTGATAATTATTTGAAATTTATTTATCTCATTATTTAAAGTAATTATGTATTTGCGGTTCGCATTACACAATTAGTTGCCCACAACTTATATCGCACTCCAATTGGTGCCCTCAAAAATTAATTTTTGTGGTCTGTATAATTGCCAGGGACAATTGTGCTAATTGCAATTGAATATGTTTTGATTTATATATTTTTGTAAATGATCTGGAATCCGTTTCAATAAGAGTTACCGCTGCTGAAAATTTAGAGTAATGATTAATGTTATTTCAGCCTTTTTAAAATAAATAATATGCGCTTTAAGTTGAACAGAATCGTTAACAAGCTCAAACAAATGCGAATAAATAACCATCAATCTTAAATTAAGTAAATAATTTATATTCTACGCAGCCAGCTTTAGAATTGCTGACATCGCAGTGTTCAAGTAATCCAATATATCTTGAAATTCAGATATATTTGTAACTGGAATAATTTAAGATTCAATTTAAATATGCCTGCCATAAATTACTTAAATACAATACCATTTGGCACTGCAATAAAATCTTGTTTGTGAAACCTTAAATAATACTTTATCCGGCTTAAGTCTAGTCCCAAAAAGTTTATGCTTTTGTCTGAGAATTACTCTGAAGCATAACTTTAGCGATAGCAGAATTGCTACTGTACGGATTTCTAAGATATTTACTTTCATTTTATTTAATTCATGCAACTATATTCATTCAACCTTCAACACCTTTCATATGTATTTCACATGTGTATCTATCTAGTTTGCTTGCTTGGCATATCAATGACTTTTCGTATTGAAATTGATTCATTACGCTTTGGCAATTTGTTAGTCATTCGGATCCCCACAATGTGTTAAAATGCAAATTGATATCTCAAGAACGACAATATATAAGCCAGTCTTATTGTAACGATCAGACATATAAAGATAAACAGGTAGAGAAGGAGGGAAAGAGAGAGAGAGAGGGAAAACCCCAAATCGTCTTTTATTTGCCGAACGTGTTTAAATCACATCTGTAATGATGCCCTGCGAACGGATGAGCTCAGACACAGACCCAGACTGATATACTCCCTTCTCTCATCTACATGCCGGACTATTGATCAATGAATTTTTTTGTGGTCTATGCTCCGCTCCCAGTCCCTCTCCCACACCCGCTTCCGTCGTCGTTCGACGGTCGTATTGTCTTGTGGTGGTTGGTTGGAGTTGCCAGCATTGTTTTTGTCGATGTCAACTTTACACCGGTACGCAACTTCATTGATAAAACTTGTTGTAGCAGTCGCTTCCTCTTTGTAAGTGATTTTTTCTTCTTCTCTTCTTCTTCGTCGTCGCTAGCTTTGCCTTAGAATTCCGATGCCCTTGTTGAAGGTATTGTGAATCTGTCACGAAATGTACGCATTGAAGAAGACCCTATTAAGAAAATATATTTTTGCTCATGACAAGCATCTGAGTTGATATAAGGTGTGGGTCTTCGATAAGTACACGCATACACTCAGAAAAAGATCGGACGTACATTTGAAATATGGAAGAATAAATTTTATATTATTAATATTTTTTAAAAGTCTTTTTGACTTTTACTTTTCGTGGTGATTTTCTTTTTTGTGTGAATTTCTAAAATTCAGGTCGTGTTTTTCGGATTGTGTATATACTTAACATGTTTGCAAATCTTGGTACATAATTTATCTAAAATATGTTTACTCATTTTCCAGTTACGTAAGCGCTGAACTCAACTTAACGTTTTTTTTTCTTCCATGTTTGTTTAGCCAACTATCTATTAAGCTTTCACATTCAGATTAAAATACGAAACAACTAGATCTAGAGTACACCGAAGAAATACCTTAATTAATTAGTTTATTTATATAATGTGTACAATTTTTACTTGATAAATATTTAACTCTCAGTTGAATGGAACTATCAGCGCAAATTAATATTGAAAAGAAATTGGAAAAAAAAACTGAACTAGGTATAGATGCACTAGTCAAAGGTTTCAGTGCATTTGTGTATATATTGTTACTAATTTGAAGAAGATGTAACTTAATAAAACATTACTATGTCCAACATCTGAAAGTGTATTTAAGTTTCGGTTTGCCCAAGCTAAAGTTTCCTTTTTGTTTTTATATTAAAATCCGGTCGGTTGGTCGGTCGGTCGCTTGGTTTGTCGACCGGTGCGGATATCATGTGACTGCCATGCCCCAGTAAACAGTTTGCTGAAGTTATTCAGTTACTGACTTATGTGTGTAGTTAGATACGAGTCAGGTTTAAGGTAGCTTTGAACGGATACTTCAATTGTTAAATGCTTTTTTCAATATGCAATTTATTAAGTGCCTATGCTGTTGGGAATGCATAATTGTACTTATGTATACAAGTTAAAGTTAGCTGGAGATCAACTAAAGCATCGGTTTCGATGCTATTCAGATTGCGTGACTTATCCAGCTGGCCCGAATCGAGTGGAGCTGGTTTCATTTCCATGGCATCTGCAATGGGCGAGAGCGCCACAAAAGTGGGAGCCCCATTACCGGTAAATGGATTTGCACTATCTGCTCAATCGCTTACATTACCATTGGGCAACTGCCAAAGAATCCACTGTTGGACCGGGTACCGTCTCTGGGGCAACGGTGGCAGCGTTGTGCCTTAGACTCTGTGCAGCAGGGCAAATGTCGCCACTACGATAATCGGCGAGTCTGTAATTAGTTTATTAAACATTCGGCCACCAGAGCTTGCTACCCTACCACATGCACATAAAAAAGCTGTTTGAAAATATATGACACTGCCCGAATTTGGCTGGTGTCTGTCTGCTTTTATAGTGATTGTACTTATGTACATGTGTGGCCAAAAAAAAATTAATTTTCAATTGCTATTCATAATTTTGATAAGGTAAACACTTAGTGGCCATTGCAGATGTGCAATATGCTGTACCTTAAAGTAATTTCAATGTTGGTTCAATTATAGTTATAATTAAAGTTATTTCCGTTGAGCAGTTCTTCTTTTTATTATTTAAGAGCATGGAGATCAAAAGAAAAGAAGATCTTCCAGTATACACATTAAGGAATTCTGAGAACAACTTGAGTTATAAATAATAAGAATGAAAGGTTATCTTGGACTCATCAAGATTACACACTCTTGTTGACCGGAGTGAATCTGCTGACATCTAAATTTTAATCTGAAGTTAAATTTTCCCACGTTTTTGTTAAGAAAATTTATATATTTTGTTCTTTTATACGATTGCTGTTGAATAAATTCCATTTTGGATATTTTGGAAAATTTTGTTTGAGTGATAATTTATTTATTTATATATATATATATATATATATATATATATATATATATATTTTTTTTTTTTAGGCAACAAAACTTTTAAATTTCAACGTAATTTTGTACATTCTGAGCAATTTTTTGTTTTTTCTTGTTTAGTTTAATAACCTGGAGTAAAGATCTATCCTCAGCTCATTGGCTTAAATTATACTATAGTTTTTTTAAACGATCCGATTTAATTTCCAATATAAATACAAATGTATTGTAGTTTGGTAGTGTTTATTATCCTATATGTTAATCACTTCCTAAGACTCAGCTTACGGAGATTACATTAACATGAGCCTTCTGTGGCTTACGAAGCTTGTGCAAGTTTCGAAGCTGCCGCCTCTTCCGGATCTGCCAGATTTGCTGGAGCTTTCAAGGCTTTTAAAGCTGCCGCCTCTTCCTGATCTGCCAGAGTTGCTGGAGCTTTTAAAGCTCTCAAAGCTGCCGCCTCTTCCTGATCTGCCAGAGTTGCTGGAGCTTTTAAAGCTGCCGCCTCTTCCGGATCAGCCAGAGTTGCTGGAGCTTTTAAAGCTTTTAAAGCTGCCGCCTCTTCCGTATCTGCCAGAGTTGCTGGAGCTTTTAAAGCTCTTAAAGCGGCCGCCTCTTCCTGATCTGCCAGAGTTGCTGGAGCTTTTAAAGCTCTTAAAGCTGCCGCCTCTTCCTGATCTGCCAGAGTTGCTGGAGCTTTTAAAGCTCTTAAAGCTGCCGCCTCTTCCGCATCTGCCAGAGCTTCCGAAGCTGCTGGTGCTTTCGCCTTCGGAGTTACTCGAACTACATTTGCCTTTGATAATTTGGCTTTGAACGCCTGTGGGATAAGACGTAGATTTATTTTCGTTAGGCCCCCATCTTTAGTTAAAATATCTGTATTCGGAAGTGGTTCCTTAGTGCTGTCTAAAATAGGCAGATCAACTTCTAAAGTGGTTCCTAAATTAGGCAGCTCTGGTTCCTTAGTGATTTTTAATTTAGGCAGCTCTGGTTTGACAGTGCTTTTTCCTTCGGTTACTATATAACTTTCCTCTTTTATCGTAGTAGTAGTATTCACATCGGGGATCCGTATTTCATTTTCGATCAAATTTGATGGAAGTTTTACCTGGCGTTCCTCTTTATCAATTTGTTTCTGGTCTGTCTCTTGGGCTTGTATTTGGTTCTGACAATCAATGCAAATGCTTCCATTGAGCGCTCCCCCTACATTTACAGAAATATTCCTGCTGGCTTCTGGTTGTCTCCGAATATAAATCTGAGCACCACCGTACGTCGCATCAGTCAGCAACGCCAAACCTTATTTAATTATTGTTTATTGTATTATTGTTTTAAGTGCATTACTTTTGGTTTACTTACAGCTCATGAAAAGAAAGTGCTTTAATGTTACCATTTTCATTGACTTCCTCGGGTGGAATGAACTGAACTTAACCCGCAACTTATGTTTTCTAGCCGTTTTCAATGTAAGCGGGGTACATTTATATCTGTTGCGGTTGTAATTCGTATTAGACATGCAGCACTTAATATATATATGGTTGTATTTAAATGTCAAAGATAGTTTGTGTTTGAACTCAACTTCCTTATACGAGTATCTTAAAGCACATTCGTTCCATTTCGTTCGGTAACTTGTTCCGTATACGTGATATCTATATTCTGGCCTTCCAGCTTCGCTTTAATGCAATTCTGTCTCGCCTTTAACCTTGTCAAATCACCCTGCATAAGCGTGACTAATGCTGCAAATGCGCCCACATTTCAATTATAATTTAACAAAATTAATTGCAACCTTTAGATTCGAACCTTCACTTACAAGCTATTAGAAAAATGTAAATGATTCCCTCAACACAGAAGAAAATAACAAATTTACATCAGCATAGTTCCAAATGCTAAAGTAATTTTACTTACATTTTCAATTTTATATCTTAACTTTATTGAATTAATTTGAAAAAATAAATAATAATTATAATAAATGACTTAAAAATATTTATATGACTCCATATTAACACCTCTTAGGCTTAATTTGGGAATGATTCTGATTTGGTATAATAATACATATTTTTTATTAATTTGTAATTCTTAAATTCTATCTTAACATTTACTCTGTAAACGGGAGTAATAATATAATTTTCAAAGCTGCCGGTTAATAAATATTTTCTAATTTGCCGTTTAAAAACCCACGATTAGCGAGAACATTTACATTTAGCAATCATTTGGCCAAGAAGAAGAAACCTTAAGCCAAGAAAACTACAATGTATATGATCATTAGTCCATATCATTCATAACTTTTAACTTTTGGCATTGTCTTTTGTAATACAACAGCATTGTCTTTTGTAATACAACAGTTGAGTCATTTTTGGCTGAGAGGGTTTCAAATTCCACCCCAGGATTCCGGAAATTTTCCTGTCGTTGCCTATTTCAAGTTCGGGGATACATTGCATAATGTGGAGAGCTTGCTGGATAATGGTATTATAAGAATTACTTCTGAGAGGCAATGAAACTTTATCATTTTTAAAATGATCAATCCTGAGCGACTTCAAGTCGAGGCGAATAAATAAACATTTTCAACATTTTCGACATATAGAATAAAACTCTAAATTTTTGTTTGACTTTTACACCAATTCGACTTGTTTTGAGTTTCTCAAGCTTAAATGTAGATGAAAAATTCCTAATAATCTTGCATATAATTGACCAAGAAAGAAGATAATACTATCTGAAATATACAGTTGAAAATATAGTTAGGTGTTTTATTGATATACATCAAATTGTAATGCTCCTGTCCTTAAGGACAATCATTTCGGATTATCCAGACCCGATGTTGTTATTGTTGTTTTTTCAGGATTTTGTAGTCCTTTCCCTTCTTGTTTCAGTTCTAATGACGAATAAAATATAATCGGGTAGTGCACGTAATAGCGAAGATAGATCAACAGTTTTTATATTGTTGAATGTCCATTTGAAATCAAATTCATTATTCATATTCTTCGATAAATGATCATGCAGATCATACGAGTGCAGTCTTTTTGACGTCAATAAACTTGAACGCTGATTAATCGAGGACTGATCATTCGGAAGCAAATCAGAAGTACGCCGACTAAGTAAATTCAAATTATTCGATTGCCGATCACGCGAGCATTGCTCACACTTGTTACTTGAACTCCAATATTGCAAGAAACGATCACGCCAATTACGATCTGTCGGATACCAATAGCGCTCATGCCCAGAGTGATGCATCAAATGATCACTCCAATGGTGATTTGTCAGATGGGGATCAAACTCATAACTTGGATAATAATGTTCCGGATAATAATACCTCTGATAGCCATAAGTTGAAGACTTATCAGTCGACGAGCGGTCAGTCGAGGAGCGATCAGTCGAAGAGCTGTCAGTCGAGGAACGATCCGTCGAAGAGCTTTCGGTCGAGGGGCGATCAGTCAAAGAGCTTTCAGTCGAAGAGCTATCAGTCGAAGAGTTTTCAGTCGAAGAGCTAACAGTCGAAGAGCTGACAGTTGAAGGGCTATTAGTCGAGGAGCTTTCAGTCGAAGAGCTAACAGTCAAAGAGCTATCAGTCGAAGGGCTATTAGTCGAGGAGCTTTCAGTCGAAGAGCTTTCAGTCGAAGAGCTATCAGTGGAAGAGCTATCAGTCGAGGAGCTTTCAGTCGAAGAGCTGTCAGTCGAGGAACGATCCGTCGAAGAGCTTTCGGTCGAGGGGCGATCAGTCAAAGAGCTTTCAGTCGAAGAGCTATCAGTCGAAGAGTTTTCAGTCGAAGAGCTAACAGTTGAAGAGCTGACAGTTGAAGAGCTATCAGTCGCAGGGCTATTAGTCGAGGAGCTTTCAGTCGAATAGCTAACAGTCGAAGAGCTATCAGTCGAAGGGCTATTAGTCGAGGAGCTTTCAGTCGAAGAGCTTTCAGTCGAAGAGCTATCAGTGGAAGAGCTATCAGTCGAGGAGCTTTCAGTCGAAGAGCTGTCAGTCGAGGAACGATCCGTCGAAGAGCTTTCGGTCGAGGGGCGATCAGTCAAAGAGCTTTCAGTCGAAGAGCTATCAGTCGAAGAGTTTTCAGTCGAAGAGCTAACAGTCGAAAAGCTGACAGTTGAAGAGCTATCAGTCGAAGGGCTATTAGTCGAAGAGCTTTCAGTCGAATAGCTAACAGTCGAAGAGCTATCAGTCGAAGCGCTATTAGTCGAGGAGTTTTCAGTCGAAGAGCTAACAGTTGAAGAGCTGACAGTTGAAGAGCTATCAGTCGAGGAGCTTTCAGTCGAAGAGCTGTCAGTCGAGGAACGATCCGTCGAAGAGCTTTCGGTCGAGGGGCGATCAGTCAAAGAGCTTTCAGTCGAAGAGCTAACAGTTGAAGAGCTGACAGTTGAAGAGCTATCAGTCGAAGGGCTATTAGTCGAGGAGCTTTCAGTCGAAGAGCTTTCAGTCGAAGAGCTTTCAGTCGAAGAGCCATCAGTCGAAGGGCTTTCAGTCGAGGAGCTATCAGTCGACGAGCTTTCAGTCGACGAGCTTTCAGTCGAGGGGCGATCAGTCGAGGGGCGATCAGTCGAAGAGCTAATAATCGAGGAGCGATCATTCGAGAAGCGATCAATCGAAGAGCTATCAGTTGAAAAGATATCTATCCACTTCCTCGTAATTGGATCATACCAATAGCGATTATTCGAATAGTCATCAAACGCATAGTCATTATTCGGATAGTAATAATTTGAACTCGACCAGATAGATTTAGAGATGTCTTTTGAAGAACTTAAAGATGGATAGTGCTCTTGGTGATCATAATCAATCGGATGGATCTTAAGCTCAAAACGATTAGGCGAAGAGCGATCAGTCGAGGAACGATCAGTTGAAGAGCTAACAGTCGAAAAGCTATCCGTCGAAGAGCTTTCAGTCGAGAGACGATCAGTCGAAGAGCTTTCAGTCGAAGAGCTTTCAGTCGAAGAGCTATCAGTCGAAGAGCTCTCAGTCGAAGAGCTAAGAGTTGAAGGGTTGACAGTCGAAGAGCTATCAGTAGAGGAGCTATCAGTCGAAGGGCTATCAGTCAAGGAGCTATCAGTCGAAGAGCTTTCGGTCGAGGGGCGATCAGTCAAAGAGCTTTCAGTCGAAGAGCTATCAGTCGAAGAGCTATCAGTCGAAGAGCTAACAGTCGAAGAGCTGACAGTTGAAGAGCTTTGAGTCGAAGAGCTATCAGTCGAAGAGCTATCAGTCGAAGGACTATTAGTCGAGGAGCTTTCAGTCGAAGAGCTATCAGTCGAAGAGCTAACAGTCGAAGAGCTGACAGTTGAAGAGCTTTGAGTCGAAGAGCTATCAGTCGAAGAGCTATCAGTCGAAGGACTATTAGTCGAGGAGCTTTCAGTCGAAGAGCTAACAGTCGAAGAGCTAACAGTCGAAGAGCTATCAGTCGAAGGGCTATCAGTCGAGGAGCTATCAGTCGAGGAGCTATCAGTCGAGGGGCGATCAGTCGAGGAGCGATCAGTCGAAGATCTATCAGTCGAAGTGCGATCAATCGAAGAACTTTCAGTCGAGGAGTGAACAGGCGAAGAGCGTTCATTCGAATAGATATTTATCCAATCATGACCAGGCAAAAACTGAATCGGACGGTGCTGAAGGTGGTTACTCCACCAGCTGTCTCTCGAAAAATGCGGATCAAACCGATGGACAATAATCGGATAGCGATCAGTCCAATAGCGACCAGCAGAAGAGCTTTCAGTCGGTGAGCCATCAGTCGAAAAGCGGTCAGTCGGAAACATATTTATCCAGTTGATATTGTGATCATGTGAAAAGTGACCAATCGGATGGTGATAATTTATATAGCGATCAGGCTGCCAGCTACCTCCCGAAGAACTTCCATTTAGAGAGTGATAATTCGTATTCCAATTGGGCCAATTCCTAAGCTTCAAATAATCTTCGGAGCTATGAACTTTCAAATGGCGATCCTTAAAATTGCTTTCAGACCATATCTGTCTTTGTGAATGCTGACCATGTGTACGATGTATGGTAATCTGCGCAGTACGGAAACCATCATCCAACTGATCCTCTTCTGATGCTGGTACTCTAACCAATCTAAAGACGCCATTATAAATAGATCTAGACAGGTCTGGATCAAACGCATTAGTTTCATTCGGGGATCTGTTAGCATCTTGATCCGCATCGTTATCCGAAACTTCCAATAAATGGTTTCGGATCCAATACTGTGGACTGACATATCTTATATAAAGCATCAGACAAAGACCTAGTTAACCAGTAAAAGAGTTTTATTTATTTCTCTGATATATTTTCAAAATGATATTTGCATACTTACAGCATATTAAGAGTTGTAGTCTTCCCATTACAAGCAAACTGGCATTAGAAATTGTATTAAACTTATTTTTGGACGGTCTTCTAGTTTTATGACAGGCTTTCATTGGCGTTACATTACATTGGTTATAGGAGTTGGAAAATTGATTTGTCAAGCATTTTTAAATAATATAAATATAGATAAATGCTCCTTATGTAAGAGCTGAACGTTTTAGCTTAGAAAATCAATGTTTGATGGGTGTTATTAGAATTAAATGCATATCATCTAAAATCCATTGTATATTTTGTTACATTTATATTTTTATAATAAATAATATTAAGAAATGTTGTTTTTAGTTATTTTATTATTATACATATTCATTTAAAAACTCTTTGAAATTCCCCTAGAAAATGTCACTTAAGACTAATTTTGTATAGCTCTATAGATTACCACAAGCTGACAGCAACCACAAACAAAAAACAATTAATAAACAAAACAAAAATAAATTAATAATTGTATTCTTGTGAGACAAGTTCAGGACGAGTACCATTTTTGTTTCGACTTTTCATTCCTGCATTTAATATACATTTAGCTCAATTTATGAATGCAACTTTTTCGACACTCTTAAAGCGCGAAAAAAGTGCGATTCTTTATTCATTCATGAATGAAAAATCTTAATTAAGGAATGAAAACAATATTTTGATTTGGCATGGCATATGCCGATCTTTGAAGGACATTGCTAACAGCCTACCAAACAAATTTGGTGACTGTAGCCTTATAATTGTGGGAGATATGTGGCTTTATCGATTTGCAATTATCGATTTGATACCTTCAGTATCAAAGTATAAAAAAACTAAGCCAAAACTTTATGTAATAATTAAAACGAACTGAAAGTGTAAATCTTTGACTTGCAGATGCAGTCAATATTTAATGTGGGATTGTTTGTCACTGGCTCTTTGCAAGTATAAATTCGACATTTAATCGAAATAAATGAATTGTTGTTGATTCAAGAGCGCAGCTAGAAATTGGTGCAAGTGTTTTGAAGATGATATCACTGGAGATGAACAGCAGGTGGATAAGTTAAGTTATTTTTTAAGTTGTGGCAACCTGCTGACATACATAAACACATACAAACAGTCGATTGTTTATGTTTTAATATAACTGGCCAAAGCATATTGCATGTTGTAATCAAATTACATGCAACATTTCACAATTTGTGATTAAATGGACATTAACATAAATGGCTCTGGAATCGTTTTCCAATTGCATTCGTTTTCTACATAAATCGACATTAAATGAAAAGCGAGTCGAAATTGCGACTGCAATTCACTGCACTCAGCGAGAGCCAGCCAAGTACTTAGCTAATGCTAAATGCATGACGATGGTGGCTCAACAAATTGTGGCCTTTTGAAAGATGATGATGTATGATGTTTATTGCACTCTGAATTTTAAAATATCATCATACTTTTTGTTTATTGCACTCTATGTTTTAAAAAATCATCATATTTCTTGTTTATTGTATTCTGAATTTTAAAAAATCATCATACTTTTTGGGAAGAGGTTAGCTTATCTTATTCGAAAAATATATTCCTAAAATTTAAAAAAAAAAAAAGTATCTAATTTAAAGGGTATATAGGTAAATACAGAACTTTAGCTTTTTATTAAATTGTAAAAAAACTGTATTGGCTAAAATATAAATATATTTAACAAGATTCTTTAGCTGAACAATATATTCATAGTCTTTATAGCCTACATCATCTATTTAAGCAAATCTTTTTTCACATATATATAAATAATTGTTCAATATATAACAGTTGAGCCAACTTTCGTTAAGATCTGACTTGCCCTCGTTTATTTGACTACTTTTTTGGAGCAAAAAGTCACTCAAAGTGTTTCCGACTTCTTTTGAGTGGTTTCTTTTTGCTGTGAAGTATTGCGCTATTTATAGACATGCTCAGAATACATATATATATATATATATATATATATTGCGGTTGCAAATTTCACAGCAATTTTTTAAGTACATCCCCAGCCGCCCTGGGCAGCCACCTCCACACTTGCCAGCCAAGTTAAATTGACATTTAATGCTGGTTTATTGTAATATATAATTTCAAACAGACGTCGCAAGTATACTGATTGTGTTTCAAATATATTTGCAAATTGAATGTTAATGCAGTTAAAACGGTTTCAATTAAAAACTTGAAAGTGAAATTTAAAGGTCGCAGTTCTCGTTTTCACAACGGCTTATTAAAACTGTTCTTGGCCCGAACTCGAACTCGAACTCAAATTAAATGATGGCCTGTGCTCAGGTACATATTTCGCATAATAAATCACTTCGCATTAATATATCATCTTAATTATGAGAATGCTGAGAATAACGAAATACAGAAAAGGCAGACAATGCAATTATATATCAAATGGTTTCAACATCAAATTGAAATTGAAATTGTCTTATCTGCCAGTGGAATCTTCTACTTTGGTGAGCTAACCTCCTCAACCTTACGTAATCCACAAAAAGCTTTATTTATATGCAAAGGATTATAATGCGATTCTATTAGTATTTTTTTTGGAATCTGTTATTATTATGTCTATATTTTCTAAGAATAATAATACTCATTCCAAAAACCATACATCTTTCATGCTGAAGTCCCATTTACCTTGGCTTTCATCTTCTGATTATAATTTTAATACCCTTCATAACTCTATAGGATTCTCCGTTTTATAAAATGGGTCAAAAGTGATTTATAAGTGTCGGTTTCACGAGTCAAGGCCACTTCAGCTGAAATCTGTGGGACCTCTGAAAATGAATAGTGAGATCTGAGCAAGTCTTCATGAGTATCCAAAATCGCATGCAAATTAAATTAATATTTCGACTAATTCTATTGTTGCAGAATTTCACAGTCAAATGATGCTCTGCAAGCGATAACTGATCAAATAATCGCAGACGATGTGAAGGTCATCAATTGCTGCTAATCCAGGTTGGTGTTGGAGTTGGAGTTGCAGTCGGAATTGGTTGGGTTTCGAAGCCCTTCCGCTTGATCGGAGCAAGCTGTCGTTGACAGCGGATATGAGAAAGAAATTGTAGTTATTGTTGTTGTTGTTGTTGTTTTGGGGCACCTGTTTTGGGTAACTTCAGCTCAAGCTGTTGTCGCTCAGCTGCTTAAGTTTTCTTAATTTTTTTTTTTTTTGTTTTTTTTTTTCGCTGTGCCCTAATGGCTGTTGCGGCAACTCGTGCCACTTGCCACAATCGGAAGTTCATGTTTATGATACGCTTACCAGCGTCTCGATATCAACAGCGTCATCAGCATTGAATTCAGCTGCCAGCTCTTGAACTTCAAGCTGTAGTTGATTTGTTCGCTCTGGCTGCAAATTATGGTTGGGGTCACTTGCTGCCCCTTGGGCGACCTATTGTACAGGTGCTTAAACAAGAAAGGAGTGCTGCTAAATGCATAGCTTATCACTAAGCAGCTGTTTTAGTACATAATCAAAATATAAGGCAATTACAGTTGTTAAACCAGTATTCAGTAATCACAAATGCATCAATCGACTCATAAAGTCTTGGAAAATAATATAAGTTCCAGAAGGTTAGAAAAACAAAATGTCCTTTTCAATAGATAATCTACTAAAGTAATAAACTTATTGGTAAGTTTTTAATTTAAAATAAATATATATTTATTATAGATTGTTGTAAATTAAAAAAAAATATATTTAACTTTATTTTTCTATCAATTATAGAATCTTTTTTATGTTTTCTGTTTTTTAACAAACTTAAAATTGACATTTGTTAATTTTTCATCAATTAAACACTTTTAAATTTCGTTTGATATGTGAGCTCTAAATAAATTCAATATCTAATGAATTCACCTTATATCCCCTATCCGTAGCCCGTATCTATAATGTTTGATCCAGCTAAAAGCTAAATAACTCTACTTTCACGTTTATTTTTTCGTAATCTTCAATTGAGGTGTTTGCGTCTAATGCACAACAATGAACGTAATAAATTCAACTCAACTCAACTCATTTCGTTTGTCTATTCATGCTTTATGGCTGTGGCCATAAAGTATCTCTAACAAGCGGCCACTTAGCTTATCTCCCAGCAGCTAGAACTGCGTCAGCCATCTCAATTATGCTACATCCAAACATATACAAATGTACATACATTCATACATCCATACACACTTGGCTGCCAATTGTATCTCGAAGTACTTTTGTAAGTGCCGCAGCAGAAAACTAGATTGATAGCATCATTTGCAAGATGCAGGTCTCTGCATTTTCTGATACACTTGCAGAAAGTATTACAGCTTGTGCAGCTAATGTGCAACACATAAAACACATATATCTTTGGTATATGTATATAGTAGTTAATGTTCGAGAAGTTGAATCAGATTAACTTTTTTGTTTGGCATAAATTCGAAATATTTTGTTACTTGGCGGTAATGATGTACTTGCCAAACTATTAGATAAATCCGATAACGGATTTCCATTTATTTCTATTATATAGAAATACAAACTCTTATTTTTATATTATTTTTAAAATTTGACTTATGTTTTATCTATGAATGAGAAATAAACGACACTTAGCATCCTAGAAAGATACAAACTGCCGTTTTATTGATGTACTATCTGAATGATGAAGTGGGTACACCTTGGTGCGAAATTATTATGATTTTCTTAATTAAGTCAATATTTTTCTGTAGTTTTTAAATTCAAGTTTGAATACTTGGTCAATATTTTTTAAGTTTGTCACCAAAGGAACAATCGATGTTCTAGAAAAATTTGTTACATATTATTTCTTATATATTGTGTATTTTATTGTTTAAGTCATTGTCATTTTGATCTACAAGTGTATTTAAACTTCGGCCAGTCAAAGTTTGAGTTTATTCTTGATTATTTTTTTAGTTGTTTTTGATTTTTTTGATTTACAGTCACTGCGAGAATTTATAGTGCGTAGCACGCAAAAATACACACAGCAGACAAAAAAAGGGAGAAGAGGGGTAGTGGGTAGATAGAGAGGGGCATGGGGAGGATGTGGCTACTTGGCAGACGCCGTCATCCGCTGGCCACTGGCCACCAGCAGATGCGGTGTAGAAAACGCTCGCGTAAATTCAGTAACAAGTGCAACAATGCTGCAGATGCCGCCACAGCCCCAACTGTTTGCTGCTGGCTGCAAACTGAATGTTGCATGGTCTTTGTTTACATTTGGAGCACGTCTGTTTTGGCTGCGGCAGCTGCTGACCGATGCCCATTAACTTGCAGCCGGCTCCAAGACAGAGACGGCATCTGTGTAAAAGAGAGAGGAAGTGAGGAAGAGCTGGGCTTGAAAAGCGTCTGCGATTACACAATTTGTGGCTGTTAGGTTGCAGCTGTAACTGGAGCATGCGTGGATCCCCATTCCTGGCATAGCTCAACGCCAGGCCTTAATGCACTCCATATACGAATATATATACATATTGGTATAAATACATACATACATATGTATACGTCTGGTTATCAGAGTTGCTATAATTGAGGTGCATTGAACGCTCCACATGCAACTTGCTGTTGTTGCCTCGGATAGTTTAATATATTGTGTGCTTTTCACACGCTCATGTGAAAAGCGTGCTGGGATATGATCCCAGTCTACACAAATATTTAACTGTTTGACATCAGAATGCGATGAATATTTACGCAAATGTACAACAACTGTTATGCTTGGCTCTAATCTTGAACTGAGTTCAGAAAGTTCACTTTTCGACGATTGCTTATATGTAACTGATTATAATGTATACAGCAGCAATTACGCAAAAATATTCTGAAGAAATTATTTCTCACACTCAGAAATTAGAAGGGGATGTATTATAGATCAACAATTTAGTTCAACATACTTTTGAAAATGTACAAAAAATATATCAATGTTTTTTTTTTATATGTGTACACAGAACTCTTACTTTAGTTTTTTTGTTACTTATATTATAACTAATCAATAGTATTTTTAGATTTTGCATAGAGAAACATTTTAGACTGTATATAAATTATACAAACTTTAATTTGAGAAACCTCAGAATTTCGGAAGAGATTTTTCCTAAGAAAAAGGATTGCATTTTTTTCTGAGAATAGGAATAGAGCTTTTCTAATTTTGAGATTTTTTTTTTCGTATATTTAGAAATTATTTCTAAAAACTAGCTTTCAGGGCAACGATTTTCTAAATTTTAGTGTGATTTTTTTTTGAGTGTATGCTCATGCTTGTATTAACGATTGTTGTTTGCGATTTGCTTAGCTTCTAATCGCCATTCGGACAAAAAACGTATTTCATTCCCTCCAAATATTGTCGTGAATAAAGTAGATAGATTTGTCCAACGCCTTACACTATATATATATGTCTATTCATTATTGACATCACTATTCATTTTATCAATAGCCAATTCTCTCTGGACCACTATACAATATAGAAAACACTTGTCTACATAATGATGAGCAAAATTACAAGTTGCAAGTGTTATTATGGTCTTTAGAAATTGCCAACATTAGAGTATTATATCATTAAGCTTAATGGGTATATCACTTGATGAATATTTTGCTCTTTTATTCCCCAGCTGAATATATTTTCACTTTTATACAAATTTTGTTTAGCGCTTTTTGTTTCTTGTGGCTTTTGACTTTGTGGTAATTAATTTTTTTGAGAGTCGTTTTTTTCGGCTTTGTTAAATAAATCATGACCAAATGTGATGACAGCAAATTACATTTGATTTTCTTTTCGGTCTCTTTGTGTAAAGCATCAAAGTTCAGAGCTTTTTATGGTTTATGGCCACAACTTTAATAGCAGGTCCATACGAGTCTTTAACCCATAAATGGCCTGAAACGTGCTCATAATATTCGAGGTTCTAAATAAAACGTAAGGTAATTGTTTGCGACACATGTTGCGGCAACATTTTGCTTGTCATTCTAACTGGAATTAGAAACAATTGCATATTCTTTTAACTCAGTTTTTATGTTATTTTCAAATGTTACCGCTAGCAACATGTTGCTAGTGGGGAATGTTGTTGCGCTACTATCGCTACGTTCAATGTTGCTTGAGTCATTTCCACTTCACATCAAGCCCATCCGGCGCTCTCTCCCTCTCTGTCTGTCCCTAACAAAAGCCCACATGATGAACCAAACTTCTAATTGAGAACCAGTTACACTGCCTACTCGAATGAGCAACGCAGCAAGTGGAAACAGTTCGCCCAGACAGTGTCAGCGCCCACAGTTCGGCAACAAAACTTCAAAACCAACCCACACACACACTTATACATTCACACACTAACACACCTACGCTGCTTATAAAAAGAGAGAGTGAGAGAGAGAGAGCGAGAGAGAGAGCACCCACGCTGGCGGCTAGCGAGCAAGTGAGCGCTAAGGAAAGAGAGCGAGAGTGAGCACTTGCAGTGCAGCAGAAAGCAGCAAAAATATGAAATTAAATTTTAAATCTAGAATATTATATATAAAATATTACATTTTAAAACTGAAGCTAATAATATTAATTTAAAAATAATTTACTTTGCTTGCGCTCTTCAATGCATTTTTCGTTTAGCTTGCGGTGCAGCAACAAATGTTGCCAACGCTCTCTGCTACGCCGCCTGTTGTTGTTCTTGTTGCGCTCGCTCACAAGTTAGCTCGATCTGCGCTCTCTGAGCGACATAGAGAGCGCTCGCTCGTTCGCTTGCTTGCTTGGCTAGCCCTCGACACCGGCAGCGCTGCGACTTTAGTTGTTTGCGAAACATTGATGAGTGCGGTTGTGGTTAAATCGTCTCGCTTAAGTTGCTGTTAAAAGCTTATTGCTGCATGTCAACGAAACTAAAAGTTTAAATATGCATACACTTTAAAAAAAGACGAACGTACTTCGACTTTGGCTGCAGTGCATAAAAAACAAATCAGCGTCGCTGCTGCTGCTGCTGTTGCTGCACCTGTTTCCTGCCAACAAACTGCAGCAGATGCGCACCCCAGTCGGAAAATACATACTTACATATTACACACATATATATCACATTCATATTAGCATTATGCGGCACGTACGCGCCTTTGGCCACGCATAAAAATGAGCAAGTGAAGTGAAGTGCCGATGATAAGTTAAGGGCGAAGCAAAAACATAAAACATAAAACATAAATCAAATAAAAACCCATAAAAAAAGAAAACGGCCTTGTGCACTTTTTTTCTTTAGCTGCAATCCATCAAAGTTTTGGGATTAACACACACCAACACACACACACATACACAAATTGGATTACCAAAAAAAAAAATCAAATAATAATAAGCAGATAAACAGAAGCTGAACCCAATTGAACTCGTTTGAAAGGTAAGTTTTGGTTTTGGAATTTCAACTTTCGGTTCTTAAGTGTTCCTTAAATGATCTGCACAGCTTGTCTTCCACTTCTCACCCAGATTATTTTGTTGGCTACCAAAATTGATTTATTGCGATAATTCAGAGTCAGCTTCGGGTTTCCGCTAGAAAGTCTCTGGTTGTCTTATCTAAAAGACTTGTCTAGTGTGCTTTTTTTTCTGTGGTCTGGTTTTCTTTTCGTTTCGTTCATTGGCGAAAGCTTAGAATTTTCACTAGCCAAATGGATTTCTAGCTGCTGATTTAAATTTAAGCACAGCAATTAAATGGAGAAACAGATATTTTCGATATTTATGTGTATTTAAACGCTGCATTTAAATAAAGAGTCGAAACTATTACCTAGCTAAGTTTCAGCTTAATTTCTTGCACCTATTAAAGTTGATTGAACTTGGATTTGAAAACCTACAACGGTACTCTCCAGAGCTAGCCAACTCATTTCCGTTTCCCCTCACCTTACAACAACAAGCATCAGCAGATATCATCTTGAGGCGATTATAATGCAAATTTTTACGTGCTGTTATAAATTTGTTAGATGTCATCGTCCCGATGAATGGATGTGTATTTTACTTTTATAACACTCTAATATTTTTATTATTATTTTTATTTATTTATTTTTTTGCTTATGCAAATCTAACAAATACCTTGAGGGCCACACGCATCTCAAAGACCTTCCCAAGTATTTCCAAGAAAATGCATATTTATATGTAAATATTTTTTTAATGATAATCAAAGTTTTGGGCTCCATAACCAAAATGAGTTTTTGTTAATTAGTCGCGACGATCGAACGAATGTTTATGGAAAACATCAAAACTAGATTTCCCGGGGCATTTGGATAATGACAACATAGTTTACATAAATTTTACCCAAATAGTTCAATCAAATCGATACCAATTAAATATGCGTAACTCTCAGCCACATTGGATTATCTTCAACATTTATATATATATATTACAATAAGATGTTTCACACGCTTGATATAACTTCAAATTTTTTGGGTGGATATGTCCATTAACAGGTCATTAGCTAATATAAATGACAAAGTTTGTAAGATTCCATTTGTTGTTCTTATCAGCATTTCCGCACATCAAATCATTTGCCAACTTTTGCTTTCCAAAACGTTCCCATAATCATTAGTCATACAACTCAGATGAAAAAAGAAACAAAACAAAAGCCCTTCCAGTTTACCAGTTGTCTAATTAATGCGAATATTATTTGTAAAGCTTTTGCTTACTAAGAATTGAGTTTATTTCTTTATCTCTTCTTCTGAAAAGAGTATATGAAACAGAATGAATATTTATGAGTAATTTGTCAAATTGAAACTGAAAATGAAATCACGCTAAACGACAGTTGAGTAGTACTTCATCGCAATTTTCCCAGACGCAGCTCTCGGACAAAACACCAAAGGTAATAATGATTAAATACGATAATAATGTATGAAAATATCTGGCATGGAATGTATTGCTATATACTTATGAGTGTTGTTGATTACCTTGAAAATTCACTTTAGACCGCTTGATTATGAAATTGTTCGCCAAAAGCAATTGACAGTTTAATAGTTGCATGTTGTTGGTGGTGTTGCAAAGTTGTTGTTGTTGCTGATGTTGTTGTTATTGTTGTTGTGGACGATGCGCGGTTTTCACTTCACTTTCGAACAATTTGCTGGCATCTTTCGCTGAGGGTTCGTCGTACCCAATATAGTCAACTGTTATTGATATTGTATTAATTTCCTGTCTCTGGTCGTGTGTGAGAGAGCCACCAAAGATTTTCACTTGAAAACACTTTTGAGGATTACCAAATGCGACTCACGTTGTGAAGAGGTCGACTGGACAACGTTTTTCTATTGTTTGGCTAATTAAAAATCAGGAAATGCACGCGAACAATGCTCAACAATATCAGGCAGGGGGTCTTCCCTCTTCCTACGTGAGTTGCTCCTTCTACCTGCACCTAACTCCTCGAGGAGCCACTGCTGTTGTCAAGTGCGGTTTGCTACGGTTTAGCGCCCTTTTTCAGTTACCAGGTAGACAGGCTTAAGCCATTGTCATTGCCATTACGGCTATTTAGACTGGGCTTAGGGGCTGGCGAAACGTGCGTTTTGGTAAGGATATACGCCTCATTTGATTTAGATATTGGCCATGGCAAGCACGTACTTACATCCAATCTAAGCAAGAGAGTAGAAAGTGCCTCTTGATTAATAAAGATATGGATTTTCGTGGCATTGCGACACCTTGGCTATCTTTAACTTGAGATCGGATTGAATTGACTTGTCAAGATCTAAACTATTTCGAAATGATCGAGCGATCAGCAACTGGATTTGGATTACTTTCCGACCACAACGAATTATGTATACACTAACCGGCAGGGCATATTAGTCGTAAGTATCTACACTATTCTCATAACTAACAGAGATTTTGATAGTTAAAACGAATTTACATATTGAAATATTAAGCCCAGCTTAAAACACAAAAGATTACATTACATAAGCATACAATTTCTGGAATGTACATTCATTAAAAGATTTATACATTTGTTCATACAAATTTATAGCTACTTTCGCAGTGTTTGTATATTGCGCTGTAACATTTTGAAAAATGCAGTCAGGAAGTTGTTCACTTTTACCATAAACGATCAAAACAATGCTCGTTTCTGCTATTTCATCCAATTTGTATGGCTTTTGTGTTTGGGTCTGTCGTACAGAATTATAGGCACGCCCGCATATTGGCCAAAGACAAAAGAGAATTGTCATAGAATTTGCATATGTGTAGGGGAATGTTTTCATTTCGTATAATTGAACGACCCGGACTTGCAATAGCGTCGTTTTCCAACATATTGTCAAATGCCACACAATCTATCCACACAGTCCACAATCCACCCGCCACCTTCACATCTCAACTGTGGCGGCAAAAAGTCACGCGTGTCATAAGCAAATTTGAAAGTGATTTGCAATTCAATAAGATCCATTGCCAGACTTCGTATTTTTACAGCTAAATTCGGAATATTCAATTGAATTGAAAACGGGCCAAAACTTTGTATTTTTTGTTGTATTTCTGATTTGATTTGCTCGTTTTCCAATTCGCGCGAACTTGGCTAAATTACTGCTAAATGCGAGCTTAGTCAGCAACTCAATGCGCAACTTATATATACATATATACACACATATCTGCCATAATATGCATATCAAGATATTATTATAGCAACGCGTCAGCAAAAAATTCCAACTCAGTGTTGACGCTGTATCGTAAAAGTTGTTGCTTTTCGTTGACACGCTGTTTTGTTAACAATTAATTAACAAAAGGAATGAAAAAGTGGCAGTTGATTTTGGTATATCTGTTAACTGTCTATTTGCCAACAACAGCAAAAGCAACTCGTCAAAAAAGGCGCTAATTGGCGTGCTATAAAATAATTATGGCGTTTTATGGCAGTGCATAGCTCACACACATTTCAAGTGTTATCTGAGCAGACACATCTCGTAATCGATAGTAAAGATATCAGACCAGTTTGGGAATATTCACAAATGCCTTAGTTATTATTCTCATATTGGATTTAATCTGTTATGTTAATTTTTTATAGATGAATGAAACGTTTTATTGAGTTTTACACTCATCAAAAATATCTAAAATATCTTAATATATATTAATAAAGTAGAAAAGTAAATGTTTATTTTTTGGAACAAAATGCATTCTATCGACTACTATATAAGAGTTAAGCTGTCTGCTTTATAAACTATATCAAATGATTGAATTTAATATATTAATAATATTTTCTTATTAATATAATAAGCAAAAAAAGTATCTTAAAGTTCCGTGCACGCATATAAAAAAATCCCCGGAAATTAGACATGGAAATATTATTTCTGAATTGGCGCAAAAATTATGGTTATTTGTTGTTTTTTTGTTCTGAGTGTAGTTACGTGATTCCGCAGCTAATACTAAAAGTTGCAGACAAACTTGACTTAACTAAGCCATCTTGGCGCCCAGCATCTTGCGCTTGCATGGAGTTTTTCATCTAGTTGGATTTGATTTCCAATATATGCTAATGTGCTAATAATACATTTGGCACGTGCTGCGAGGTAGATAACTCAAATAAAAAATTAGTTTGAATGGAATGCCAAGAAACGGCAAACTTTTTGTGAATGAAAACGCAAGAACCGAGTTAAATACTTTTCTTTCATATAATTAAAAGCGTTCACATATTGTGAGAAACGATTCAAGTGCAGTTTCAGCATCTTTGCAGATGCTCTCAGACTTTCCAGGTGTGGGGCAGTAATGGCGTTGCCAGCTTTTATGGCTAATCAAGTGCAACAACAACAGCAGCAACAAAATGATGAACTTTCATCTGTCAAACGACTTTGCCATTCTCAGTCTCTGCCACTCTTGTTGCATTAGGGTCAAGTGGGTAACTTTTAGTGAGTTTTGTCTGCATTCATTTCACTTTAAGGGCCGCGCTCAACTTTCGTTAGGGTCTTCAAAGACTAGCTGCCTTGCGTAGCTTATCGGCTTTGAATCCAATTGAATCCAATTGCCGACTTACTTTCTACACTTTGTGTGTGTGCAACACGTGCCCCCCGCCCCCCTCGTCCACCCTTCCTGTGCTAACCGATAAAAATGTGCGACAAATTCTCACGCCCAACTCTTTGCTGTAAATGTAAACCGCAAAATGCAAACTTGGTGGTGGTGGTGGTGTTGGTGCTATGTGGTGCTGTTGGTTCCCAGCTGAAATCCTGTCTCTGTTTTGCTTTAGCTTTTGCTGAGTGTGTGTGTGTGTGTGTGAGTGTTGCCTTGACTTGAATGCACTGTGGGAATGTGCGGGAATAACTCGCACACACAGAACTTGATTGACTTGCATTTTTTTGTGTCTTCTCCCTTGGCCAACTCAGGGATTCATTAACTGCAGCAGCAACTCTTTCACCGCCTTGCTGCAACTTCCACTCATTCTCTCTCTCTCTCTCTCTTTGTACTTTT